CTCGACATGTATGTCTTGTATTTAATCACAAAAACCTCCACCAAATCACGTTGCTAAATCCGTTTAAGTGAAATTTAATGTCAAATAAGATAAAACTAACCAAAGATTTTTTGAGATTCAGTTCCTTAACATAGTAACTTGGTAGAAATATTTTGGTCTTATTTCTATAAGTAATTTTATACTGGAAAATGATAGGCCAAGATGCTATGACTTACTATTTAACTCACATCCATCCTCCTTTAGTTTTAAGTGAGGCCAATGTACCAATCCTTTTTTCCACCATTATTATCAGAATTACATGCAAAACAACATGGATTTTTGCTTTATATTTAGGGATATCTAAACATATCTCCTGACTTGTAACTTACTTTCACTCTCCCCCACTTCATGAAATGTTAGTAAATTTCCCATTTTCTCTTTTTATCTTGGTCGAGCATAGCAACTTAATGAATGTTTTCGTTGACTCTACATGCAAATTCTGGATATTCACCGATTCACTGAAAAGTGTATCGAAATTCAAGTTCTTAAGAGTGGAAAATAATTGTAACTTGGCTCCACCAGACAGCGGTTACAAACATCTTGGTCGAGGCTTTTGTAATATTTTTCATAAATGATGGCGTCTGGTTGTGACATTGGTTGTGACTGTAGAATAGACGAGGCTATCTCTGAAGATGAGTCAGTTTGCAAACGCAATAAGTGGTGCATCATCATGAAGTTGTTACATAACTTGCTTGCATTGGAATTTCAAACTCAACACACAAGAGATTTGGATATTTTAAACGAAATTTCACAGTTTTGGTATGAACATTTTATACTGAGACTGCGTGGAATGGGCAAACTGACATTTATGCCAGTTGTTCCATCTTTTCAAGTGAAATATAATGTAAAATAAGGTAAAACTAACCAAAGATTTTTGGTGTGATTATGGCTTTAAGTTGAGTAAGCACTTCCAACTTCTTTTATTTTTTATTCACATCACTTTTATTCCGAGTAAGAAGGTCCGATAAACGGATCTGATGTTCAATCCTTCTTTTTTTACTGTATCAAAAAGACAGTTTCAACTGAAAACGTTCCAGGTAATCCCAATAATTGCTTGCTCCCTCATACACATTTACTCAAATTAAGGTGATCTCAATTATTGTGCGAGTACAAATTGCTTTTTTCGTACATTTATTACTTATTGTCATGCCTTTAAGAACATATGTCATCAGCATTAATAACACTTCATTTCCCAATGCTAAATACCTATTTATTATTAATAATAATTGCTAATCACATAACATTACTATCAATAAATATTTCATATTTAAAAACAAATATATTCTTTCACATTTCAGCGGTTGTTGCTGCCCATGTTGCTGTTGTCCATGTAGCTGCGGCGGCTGTGGTGGCTGTGGCGGTTGCGGAGGTTGTGGCGGTTGTGGCGGTTGTGGAGGCTGTGGAGGCTTCGGAGGCTGCGGTGGTTGTGGCGGTTGCGGAGGTTGTGGCGGTTGTGGCGGTTGTGGAGGCTGCGGAGGTTGCGGTCTCGGCGGTTGTGGAGGCGGCTGTGGTGGCTGTGGTTGTGGTTGCGGCTGCGGTTGTTGCTCTCCGTGTTGTGATGGCTGTTGCTGCATGCCGTGTTGTTGTTGTCCCTGTTGTTGCTGTTAGTCCGCAACCGCATCGGCAGATGTCACGCCGCCAACTGAGCTCAAGAAAGTTCGGGCATTCTGTGGATGCACGAGCTGCCTCATTCACATCCAATTTTCCTT